GGATGTTTCTTCGAGAATAATTAGTCACCAATATTTACATGAGTTACAGGAAGCAGAGCAACTGTGCAATGTGTAGGATTCATCTTAGGAACAGTTCTATTTCCATGGGTATCCAAAGCTGTCAGACCAATGAACAGTGCAAATCCAGAAAGGAGATGGTTTCCTCCTCCAGAAGCATCATGCTGTGTTTCAACAGATGCACCTCTCCATTTTAGGATACGCGTTGAACAATTGCCAGATAAAAATACATTGCTGGCATCTGAAATGTCTTATTGCACTTAGAAACTGTTGATTAAAGGAGGAAAGATCAAAGAGAGAAAGGTTGCATTTTCCCCCCAGTGATTAATACTAGCTTTACCTTCAGGTGACAACAAAACTGCCAAAACTGAGAAATTAGAGGACAGCCTTATGCTTTGCACACTTTAGATGTCTGAGAGTTCTTTGCTTCTAATCAATTAGGCTGCAGCCTCACATTCTTCATTCACATCTGAGACTTTCTTTCCGTGAGCCTGGCTATTGGGGTCACTGTCAGTGGGCATTTCCACACCATTATCCAGTCTGAGACCTTGAGATTTTCCTCATAAGGAAGCACAAGGAAACATGAGTTGGGTGGCATACCTTTATCCAAGTTCTTATCCTTAAACAGAAGCACAGTAGGCTCTCCTGCATCCCACTGACTAAAAAACCAAGACACAGGTGCTTCCATCTCCTAACCTCTTGTATGCTGCTTCCAAGCAGCACAGGAGCTGGGAGTTAATCTCCCCAGTGTCCATGTACACGGCCTATTTACTGAGCACCTGCCTGCCTGCCCTCACATCCTGCTTCTGTGGGACTTTCCACTCTGAAATTGCTGCTCACACCTCATCTTGCCTCAGCCACTCATTCAAGTAAAAGTATTCTATATAAACTGAATTAAGAAATGCAGGAAGGGTTCTGCATTTGCTGCAGGTAAGTTTTGAAAACTGCATTTGTTTCTTATAGAGTCAGTATCCAGCCTCACAGTAATCAAAAATCAGCACTGTGGTTAATGCTGGGCATCAGATCATTTATATTCTGGCCTCGGCTCTGTCTTAGACTTCCACTATGCCATAATTACTTAAATTCCATTCTCAGAGGTGACATTTAATTTGGGATAAGCCAGCTTTGTCTGCTAGACTGTAATATCTGGAACTCCATTTTCATAAGGTGCTTTCATTGACTTCAGCTGGTATGAAAAGAACTCAAAATCTTTGCAGACCAGATTCCCAAAAGTCTGAATGGCCAATGGTTGTTATCCGGGTGCTCTGCAAAGCATCCATAAAATGTTATCGATGGCATAATGGAGAATTCCAATTTATGAATACTTTGCACATGCTGCACATACTGAAACAACTACGGATGTTTTAGGGCAATGTGTCCAGAGCACACAGAGGCTTACTGTGAGTGAGGTGTTCAGTGCCCAGGACACCTTCTCTGCACATTTCAGTGCATCACTTGAGGCTGTCAGAAATGAAAGTGCTTCAAATAAGGAGCCATAACTGAAAAGACAGATTTTCTCTACCACAGAGCCCTCTGTGGCCCCTAACTTCCAGTGAAGTCAATGGAAGTATATGTCCTACAGGGATCTGGGCTGCTGTGACTAAGTAGCATCATATCCTGTGATCAAAATGCATTACGATTTACAATGCCTGAATTCTATCATATAACCTTGTCTGTATTTTGGATGGCAGACGCCAAACACACTTGAAATTCTACACGGAATTTAAACTAAAGGAGGGGAGATTTAGGTTAGATGTTAGAAGAAATTCTTCACTTAGGGGATGGTGAGGCCCTGGCATTGCTGCCCAGAGCTGTGGGTGCCCCATCCCTGGAGGTGCCAAGGCCAGGTTGGATGGGCCCTGGGCAGCCTGAGCTGGTGGGGGGCAGCCAGCCCACAGCAGAGGAGTTGGAGCTAGATGATCTTTAAGGTTCCCTCTGACTTAAGCCATTCTACAATTCTGTGATTCTAAAACTAAATCCAGCAAAATGTGACTTTTACATGTTCTTATGTTTGTCTGGAAATGAATCAACAAAAACAAATGTTTATACTGTTACCCTGTGATTTTCTCTGTCTGGCAAAGAAATGTTGTGGAAAAATCCCCAACAGTACAATCCTGTGTTTAACATACTTTAAGAATACATCTGAACACCTCATTCAACAATCCCAGTGCAGCCTACACCGGATAGTATGATCTAGGTGAGGAAGTTTGGCAACTGCACTACTGCTTCCAGCTTGCATGACTCAGACTGGGTGGTGCTAACAGGGAGGAGAACCCGGTCCTTTTTCTCAGCAGAAATTCAGGCCTGCTGAAAACTCTCACCTGATACAGTTTGACACGTGAGATGTCTTCTCTGAGCATGAAAGATACCTGCATGAGCTCCCAGTACCACACTGTCTCTAGCAAATGAGTGAGTTTGGGTTTGATAAACAAAGAAAGATATTAAAGACATTAAAGATTTAGCAAAGTTTGAAATCTCTGAACGCTGGTGATATAGCCATGCAATGCTGGGGCTGGGTGTGTTGGCTTATCTGCCCCCTAAACTATTAACTATTTCGATGCATACTGACTTCCTGAATATTTCTAAGTTTCTGTTTCCCCTGTTTCATATATCTAACAAATAATGCTCGGTGTTTAGTCTATTCTAAGGGGTGCTTTCTTTGAATCTCTATTTTCTTTTGATTTTAACAAAGAATGAAATAATTTAGAGACAAAGGTAAAATGCCTCAGCAGGAAACAAAACAGATTAACTAAGAGAAAAGAATTAATACCAACACTTATGAAGGGTGTCCTTCTCTTGATCTGACAAACAAAACTGGAAACAGCTTCAAATACGTAGGGTCTGGCCCCAGTTTTGCCAGCCTGCACAGAGCTGGCACAGGCAACTCCTACTCACCCACCCTGCAAAGGCTGAGAAAAAAGAGAAGGTGGGACTGGAATTGCATCATTTCCTGTGCTTTTATACTCTCCAGGCTGCCACTTTGTTTTGTTAAGGACTTTTTTCAGGCTGATCAGACACAGAAGAGATGTCCTCTGTTCCTCCTGGATCCTCCTTTGCCTGCCATACCAAGCAGAGCTCTGCGTGCATCAGTAGCTCATTTTCCCTTTCTGTTCTGAGTGCTTCCTGCCTCTGTTCATACAGTTTCTCTATGCCTGCATGTTAGGATGAAGGCAGGTCTCCTGACTGGCAAGTTCCTAAAAATCTATTCAACTCAGTACAAGACAGATGCAGTAAAAGCTTCAGCACTCCACTTAGTCGTCATACTTTGCTTATCTTCTATCACAAAGCCTTGCCCTCTCGCTAAAGCCACCGCAAGGCACTGCACCATCTCCTCCTAGGAAACAGTGGGTAGTTCTCTCTGTGGTTTACAAGGAAAAGAAAGCTGGAGCCCACTATCTGGCAGAGAAGTTTTCCATTTACACAATGTTATGTGAAGGTTACTTTACAACTTACAGCAAGAAAACAAAGCTGTGAAGTATATACACAAATCTACTCTGACGATAGAAAAAATATATATGTTATTTTCTTCTTGTTGTTTATTTCTTTACAACCTTGAAAGCAAGTTGCACTAACTAGAATATACATCATTAGAGTTATGTACAAAAGAAATACCAAACCTTGTGTATTTTGAGAATAGTTAAATTAAATTTCTCCTGCGTATATTATGCTATTAGAATGGCTCAAGCACGACACAAATACTGACAGGGCAGAATTTCTGGAATGTTGTGCTGTTCCTTGATGCCATTCATGCGGACAGCAGATCTCCTCCGATGGATGCTCTCCATTACCCTGCTTGCAGCAAAAGCCACTGACAAGTACAGAACGTGACAAAACGTCCCTCCCTGCTACTAACAAGGCTGCTCTGATGCTCTGCAACTTTCTTCTTTACAGCCACTGCATTTTCTATTTTCTTTTGAACATGAAGTAACATCTCAGTCCAACTAAATTAGTAAAGAAAGTTTTAAAATAGACTTTCATGCAAGCCATGTTTCACTTCCTCTCCTGCACTGCATGTGACCTTTAATAAAACAACCAAAAACTTTTAAGTTTTAATTCAAAACCAGACAGCAGTAGTTGGTAGCAAGAACAGCAATAGCTACACTGTGCAATACACTGTGCAGTACAAGTTCCTCCTTAACAGGCCTATTTCTGGTGCAGAACTTGTGCCTCTTTAAAGTGTCACCTTATATGCTATGCTAGATGCAGCAAATTAACCGTTTGTTTTGCAGGGATTGGCAGACTTCAGTATCACTGTTTCCTGGGTGACTTCAATTACACTGTAACTTCTGACTGCAGCTATCAGATTAATCCCTTGGGTTTCCTTAACTAATAGACTAAATCCCTGGTAGAAAAAGGCTTATGTAATACAAGCTGTGGGGATGTATATTAATGTAATAGAATCAAACTAATAAATTTATTTTTTGAGTTCTACTGAATGTTTAATTTCAGAAAAGTTAGCAAATGCATCATTTGTTTAGTTTGTTTTTTTTTTCCCTTCAGGTCTCCTAAATAAAGGCTAGTTTATCTCAGAGCAGAGAACGCTTCGCTACATAAGGAAACATAGTGGAAGCATTCTATCTGACTGATCAACAGAGGATTAGAACTCAAACTGAAACACTTCTCAGTCACAGAGCTCAAGTGCTTTATTCATGAGCATAAGCATCATATGGCATGGTACATATCCAGCTCATTAAACTCAGATTTGGGAAGGTTAAGCCATGCGTCCAGAATTACATAGCAAGTCTAACAGTAGAACAGGAGGCAGAGGCTACTTCCTCAGTCTGAGCCCTTTACAATGGGTTCAACAAGATGAGTGACTTCAGATAAACGGATCAACTAATTTTTCTGGGTGAAGAACTGCCTTTTAAGGCAGTTGTTATATGTATCTGTTACACATATCAAGCAACAACGTAAACCCTTCACTTGGATGAATATGAAAACGTCACACATCGAAAAATTGAAAATATTAACGCAAAACTTACCTGTATCTGAGTGCAATTCATATCCACGTACAGCTGCTGATGCTCCAGAATGACCAGGAAGTCATAGAATCACAGACTCATAGAATGGCCTGGGTTGAAAAGGACCACAATGATCATTTAGTTCCAACTCCCTGCTGTGTGCAGGGTCACCAACCACCAGACCAGGCTGCCCAGAGCCACATCCAGCCTTTCCTTGAGTGCCTCCAGGGATGGGGCATCCACAGCCTCCTTGGGCAGCTTGTTCATGATGGGGAAGTAGACAGAAAGACTTGTCTACATAACCAAAGATAATAAAAATAGAATTTTTTCAATAGCTCTTTCAAACTTTTTCATGGTATTTGCAACGTTTCTTATAATCTTGAAATAAAGAGATTATCTAAAGTCTTATCAGGTCATTAAAATAAAAATGAAACATTTCAGCTTCCTGACAGTGCTAGGCTTGTTTTTTTAAAGAGTAGCCATTCATTTCTTGATTTAAAATTCTGATTATTATTATTATTATTATTTAGAGAAAGTGACCTTTTCTCAGTGTGTTGGCCTCGTCACTGAAACAACAAGCAGGGGAACAACAACAAAAAAAAAGACATGACTTTGCAAACATTTTGCATAGCGAAAGTACTACAGAAGGTCCACAAAACGCTACTGCCAACACGCTGAACTTTGAAACAGTAATAAAGAATGCCAAATACAAAGCAATTAAGAAAATGTGCTTTTCAACCCATGTTATTAGCTGTTAGAACACAATTTACTAAAAACCCTTCTCAGCTCCTGTGTTCTTCCCCGCTCCATCTCCTCTCCCCATTTTCCTGTACACCATGTTCTGCACGCTGAAAGAACAAGGCAGGTGTCAGCAGAAGCAAACAGGAGGCCGCTGGCACAGAAATTCTGAATGATGCTTATTTGTTAGAAGAAGCATATTCACAATTCTTAAGCAGCTGCAAAATCTGTTTTCGTGGCTCTTGTCTATCTGTGAGGCATCGGTTCAAAAAGTAACCTCGGTAAGAAATTGCTTTTATTTGAAACTATGTTTTATACCTATCAATTGAAGATATATATATATATTTATATATGGAATTTACGTGGATAATTGATTTTTTTAACACCAATCCACCTCCCTCTGCAACGCTGATTGCTCCTCGCGTATATTGTTAACTCGCCTACATTCGGAAAGCTGGATGCTTCGCCATCTTTTCGTTCTCGCCCCCTGAACGTAAAACGTTTTAAAAAGCGAATCCCCGTGGCACGCCCGCTGCCATTTCCCATGTGGGGGATGGTGGGACCATGGCAACGGCGGTGGGCGGGGCTTAGGGGCGCCATCTCCGCTCCGATTGGTTGGCGGCGGGACGCTGACGGCTTCCGGCGTGCGCGCGCGGCAGGGCGGGCGGCAGGGCGGGCGGCAGGGCGGGCGCGCGGCCCGGCGGCGGCGTCGTGCGGTGACGGTGCGGCGGTCGGGCGGACGGAGGCGGAAGGATGGACACGCTGGGCAGGAAGGTGGTGGTGTGCGACAACGGCACCGGGGTGAGTCCCGCGAGGCGGCGGGAGGGAGAAGGGCGATTCCCCCGGGCCGGCTTCCTGCCGGCACGCCCGGTCTGCCCGCCGCGCCCTGTGCGGCCCAGCGGCGGGGCCTGCGCCGCGGCGAGGCGGCGGGGAATGAATGGGCCGCGGGCAGGGCGGGGGCTGCGCCGCCATCGCCGGGCGCTCCCAGCTCGGGGCTCGCTGCCGCCTCGCCGCCCTTGAGCGCACACTGCGGGAATGGGTCGTCCGCTCCGTAGCGTGGAGGCAGGAAGTGGCAGAGAGAGATAGCATCGCGGAGGCGGCGGACCATCGGGAGGGGCGGCGGTGTGTCCCGTGTGCCCCTCCCCCAAAAATAATTATAGGCACGCATGTGTATTTATTTACTTATTTTTAAATAGAAAAAAACAAATGCTTAAAGCCAAGGATGGAATAGCCGAGACAAAGGATGGCGTTGTTAGGGATTCGGCCTCCTGAATTGCAGAGCGTGCTGTCAGCGCTGCAAGTGATGGGAGAGGGGATCTGACAGCGCTGCTCTGACGGTCCCGGTGCCTTCTATTGGTGAAAAGAAGGCTGCGGGGTGACCTCATTGCAGCCTTCAGTACCTAAAGGGAGCCTACAAACTGGAGGGGAATCAACTCTTTGAAAGGGTAGATAACTGCAGGACGAGGGGAAATGGTTTTAAGTTGAGGGAGGGAAGATTTAGGTTGGACGTCAGGGGGAAGTTCTTTACAGAGAGAGTGGTGAGGTGCTGGAACAGCTGCCCAGAGAGGTTGTGGATGCCCCGTCCCTGGAGGTGTTCAAGGCCAGGTTGGATGGGGCCCTGGGCAGCCTGGGTGTAGTATTAAATGTGGAGGTTGGTGACCCTGCATGTGACAGAGGGATTGGAGCTTCATGATCCTTGAGGTCCCTTCCAACCCTGGCCATTCTGTGATTCTCCTGTTTCCCTGTTCTAAGGACAATGAATAGGGCTGAGGGTCAGCTGGGCACTTCCTGCAGTACCATTTAGAAAAAGAAGGCATTTCCCCCCCCCCCTTTTTTTTTTCCCCTTTCAGTGCTTAATGCTCTACTTGTCAGGCTTGGCCCACAAGGCACATATCCCAGGAACCCTCTCCATCCTTCAGTGCTGCCCTTCTGGTGGCAGTGCAGCAGTGAGCTGTACGGTGCCTGGCTGGAGCTGGTGACACCAGCACTGCACTGCTGGATATAAGTAACAGGGTGAGGTGCCTTTATGCTGCTGTTAGGGGCCTGGAGGAGGGGCCAGCATCACTTCAGCTTCTGTTGGTTTAGGTTGCATTTGCCTCCAAGCAGAACAGTGCGTGTCTGCAAGGTACCCTGCCTGCAGGGTCAGCTCTGTGCAAGGACAAGGTATCAGGACACAACTGTTAAATCAGTCAGCTTGAAATATTGAGGTCAATTTAGGGTAATTAAACCAGAAGAAAGTTTTGTTCTTGACATCAGAAAGTGTTTGAAACCTCAGCTGGGAATTGAATATGTCAAATTAGCCCTACTCTGTCAAAATGGTATTTTTCATGGTAACTATCTTCATGTGTGACAAAGAGGACCTGCTTTATGTCAAAAGGATTTCTGATATGCTGTGGTATGTCATAATTAATGCATGAAATTAAGTCTCTAGTCAGGTACCAGAAATATTATATAAAAATAGGGACTAGAAAACTCAGATGCTTTAACTTTAACTTCAAACTTGTCTGAAATTTACTGTAATTCTTGTGCTGAAATACAACCTTAATGTAGCTTGCTGCTTTGAGGAAGAGGTGACTAGAAGGAAGTTCTTGCAACATGTAGTGCAGAAAGAGGCAGGCAGTGGTATCTTGACAGCGAGAGTGATAGAGGTGGTTGTTCTGTTATAGGACAAGCAGAAAGTAACTGAGTGGCCTGTAACATTTCTCTAATAGTATTTAGGGTTTTTGTTTGAGAATTGCATCAACTGAAGGAATCAAACACAGCCCCCTGATAAGAATATGACTGTGTTCATTTTAAAGCCTGTCACGTGATGTCTGTGAGCTTCCTCATTCTTTAGTGTGAAAGAACACTTATAGGTTCAAGTTCTTGCTGCTTGATGACTCAGTAGGAAGTGAAAGAGTCCGTGCAAACCACAGTGCAATGGAGAAGAAACTATATATGGTAAAATGGTCGTGCAGGCAGGCAAAGCAAGTAGCTTCTCTTAAAGCATTTTGAATGTATAGCTGGCACTTGCAAAAATGACTGCTGGTGAACTTTGGCTTCCTTGCCAAGATGTGTATAAATACATCAAGTGTTGATTTTAATGTTTGAGCCATGGTGTGCACTGAGTGCTGTACTGAAATCATTTGCTAATTGTTCCAAGGGCTGCACAGAGGAGGGATGGCAGAGCAATAAGCACACTATACTTCAGTTTTAATAGAGGGCTTCACATGGGGGGTGGAAAGAACACCACGAGTATTTAATATTTGGCTCCAGAAGATGATAATATTCCAAACTAGCTTATAATGTTCAATCAAATATTTTGAAAGATCTATTGTAAGAGAGGGATGAGCATCATATGTTTCTTCTTCAAAAAAATCCAAGACAGTTCAGGATTTGTTATGTGGATACGTGTTTGTTGCTAAGGTGCATTTATCTATTATCAGCTATCTCTTGGTAGTTTGATCAAGTGTCCTTCTTCAGCCTTAGTACCTGACATTACATCATCTCCATCCTACCCACCAGCTGAGTGCTCACTATGGTGGGGGGGAAGATGCTACCCTGAGAACACTCAGCATCTCCCACCAAGGGATGCTGGGTACAGAGCTGCTTTCAGTACTCACTAATGATTAGGGAGGGAAGATGTAGGTTGGATGTCAGGGGGAAGTTCTTTACAGAGAGAGTGGTGAGGTGCTGGAACAGCTGCCCAGAGAGGCTGTGGATGCTCCATCCCTGGAGGTGTTCAAAGCCAGGTTGGATGGGGCCCTGGGCAGCCTGGTGTAGTATTAAATGTGGAGGTTGGTGACCCTGCATATGGCAGAGGGGTTGAAGATTCGTGATCCTTGAGGTTCCTTCCAACCCTGGCCATTCTGTGATTCTGTAGTAATTCATGTGGCCTGGGAAAACAAAATGGATTTGAAGGGGAGAAAGAGTCGGAATGAAAATTTGCCCCTTCTGTTTGGCTAACCATGTAGAGCTGACCAGAGTTTGTAAAAATGTCACTCGTACAGATTCTTGGTTCTAACCTGAAAGAGAGAGCTGGAGTTAGTCTGCGCAAAATAAAATGAGTGAGATTGAGGGAGGAGACAGCGAATGGCTAAGCTATCAGATTTGTGAATTGCCAGTATCCTACTGTTGTGCAACATCCCAGCAAGGTGTGTCAAGGCCTTAGGGCTTAACATAGGGACAGGCTGAAAGTTACAATTACAGATGAGAGGGTAACAACTTAGAGTAGTATCTTTGTAACTCAGCCTTTTCTAGTTCTGTTTTCTTGTATGCCAGAATGTTGCAGCAATAAACTTGTGTAGTGCTCTGCAAGCAGTCATTTGTTAAAAGGCAAAGCTTTTTAGGAATCTGTAAACTTTTATTTACACTCAGCTCAGTCCTTCAGAATGTCTCAAATGTTTCCTGTGGCGTAAAACATTTGGAAAGCCTTGTGGCATGTCCAGGTAGCGTGATCCAAACATGTGGCTCTTTGCTTTTCATAGCAGCTGTGCATTCTTGAATACACAGATAAGATCTGTGCAGCTCTCCTGTACTCTTTGTCCTAATGTCAGTAAGTAGTTGCCTTTACAGAGAACATAGATTGCAACAGAATGAGTGAAATGAATGTTATACGTGGTAATTCTGCTGGTATTCAGAACAGCTCTGCCTCTGTAGAGAGCAAATTCTGAGTCAGGGGAAGAAATGAGGGGCCCAAAAAGCTAAGAATTCCCTCTCCACTCCTATTAGCCCAAATTTAACTGGAATGTTTCTTGCACCTTTCCATAATTAGCTTGAAACATTCCTCACAGATGAATAATGTAGAGCAACAGAAAGTGGCTTTTCATATTAGAGTTGCACGTCATCACAGACAGGATTTTTTTTTGTGCTCAGTTAGTCCTTAATGCTTTCTTAGCACATATGCTGTATCTTTGGAGCTAGCACTGTAAAACTTCCCTTTGTATGTATTTGAGGAACAGACACTTTCAGAATGTCCTGGTTGATGTGAGCTACCACTAGCCGGGACTTTACTTGTTTCCTGTATGTTTTGCTGCAAGCTCGTTGCTTTTTTTCCTTAAAATCTGTCCTAAAACATGTTAAACTCTTGATAAATCTATTTGAACTGTAGAAAGCATCACAGAGAATCCCTTTTCCATAGCACTGTAACAGCCGAGTTCACAAAGGTTTTGTGTTTTCTGACATATCATTTGCTGATCCTTGCGTTAATTGGAAAGGCAAATTAATTGTGGTGCTTATGAGGTGATCCGTTACGAAATGGTAAGTTTGTTTGCTGGAGAACTGCTCATAGGGCAGCAGGAAATTCAGATTTGAACACTGCACTCTTTTATACCTCTCAGTGCACTTAGTCATTTTCGTACTGCTTCTTTGCAATCTCACCGTCTGTTTTAGAAAACATTCTGGAAGGTACTTTAATTCAGAGTTGTATATCTACCTATCTGAAATGTGTAAAAGTAATGTGAAAGCGTATATCTTGTAGGATTCATGCTCTTAAACCTGGTGTTTTATTCCTAAACAGATGATTATTAGTAAAAGAACGTAATAAGTGCTCTAATAAAATCATTTCTTCTTTTCAGTTTGTGAAATGTGG